AAACGCTTATTATGAATCCGGATACACGCAGGTACTTGCGGATACCCACGGATACCTGCAGAAATCTGCAGATACCCATAGATACCCGCAGATACCCGTTCGGGTACTCTTTTGGAAATGGTTTTTATCCGTGAAACAACTATAATGTCCGGATATGTGGTTAACAGTAGAGATATCTGGATAAGTGGTTAACGGGTCCAACCTCTACTCTAATCCTAACTAAATGAAATAAACTCTGTTCATTTTGGTTGGTTTGATTTGCATTACACTTGATCTTATGGGGCGACAACATCGCAGGAGCCCTATATAAATAAGTTCTATTTCGAATTTGTTATTTCAAAATTGTAAAATAATTTTATACTTACGAGCTAATAATTTAATTATTTATAATAGATTCGAATAGATAAAATTTATTTAATATATATTATTTCAAATTAGTTATTTTAAAATTGTTAAATAATTTTATATTTACCGTCTAATAGTTTAATTATTTATAATAGATTGAATAAATAAAAGTTATTTAATATATATTATTTCGAATTTGTTATTTCAAAATTGTAAAATAATTTTATATTTACCAGCTAATAATTTAATTAGTTATAATAGATTGAATAGATAAAATTTATTTAATATATATTATTTCGAAATGTTATTTCAAAATTGTAAAATAATTTGATATTTACCAACTAAAAAATTTAATTATATATTGTTTCAAATTTGTTATTTCAAATTTGTAAAATAATTTTATACTTACGGTCTAATAATTTAATTATTTATTATTGATTGATTAAATAAAATTTAATTATATATTATTTTAAATTTGTTATTTCAAAATTATTAAATAATTTTATACTTATCACCTAATCATTTAATTATTTATAATTGATTATATAAAATTTATTCAATTATATATTATTTCAGATTTGTTATTTCAAGTATAATATAATTTTATATTTACCGCCTACTAATTTAATTATTTATAATTGATTAGAGAAAAATTATTTAATTTATATATTATTTCAAAATTTGTTATTTTTAAATTGTAAAATAATTTTATACTTACATCCTAATAATTAATTATTTATATTAATTATAAAAATTTATTTAATTTATATATTTTTCAAATTTGTTATTTAAAAATGTTAAATAATTTTATACTTACTAACTAATAATTTAATTATTTATAATTAATTAGATAAAATTTATTTACTGCGCTTTTCAAATTACTGTGATCGTCAGATTATTGTCCATCACACGGAAATCTGTAAAATTCCCTTAAAT